AAGAGAGGTTTTTCTGCCCGTTGCCCTCCAAGACGGCAGCGCACGCTGCCTGAGGGGCCGTCTCTACAGGGACGTTACACTGAATCTTATACATCGAAATCCGTCATCTTGATTTAGATATAAATGTATAAATTATGGCAATTTTCTTTCTTTACTTCGACGATTTACGTAATGTACTTATACAAAGTCCCGTTTCCACTCAGGTATAGAGGCTAGGGGGTTTATATTCGGTCCCCCTATAGCATTAGCAATCGGAGCAAAGTTTGTTCCGTTGAGAAAACCAAATAAACTGCCAGGTAAACTGAATTATCGGGCACTAATTATTGCTCATGATTGAATAAGTGACATAATTTGGTAATTGAATTTATTTAAAATAAAATAAAATATTACAGGTAGAGTTTTCAGACAAGAGTACGAGTTGGAATACGGAAGTGATTGTCTTGAAATGCATGTTGGAGCAGTTGCTTCGGGCGAGCGTGCTTTAGTAGTCGATGATCTAATTGCTACTGGTGGCACTCTTTGTGCAGCCATCGACTTATTAGGTACTTTTATTTATTTATTTCATATTTATTATTATTTTTTTACTGCGTTACGTATTCGTAAATCATCCCATAATTTGGATTATGTTTGACTTGAAATCTGTCGTTTACCAGAACGTGCTGGAGCTGAAGTATTCGAGTGTGCTTGCGTCATCGAAATACCAGCTCTCAAGGTTATTATATTATTATATGCATTATTATTATTATTTTTTTATTGAAATGATAAAATATATATAACCCGTTCGAAAATAAACTGGACTTCTAATTAAACATATTTTTAGATAACAAATCACTTTTTAATTTGTAAATACTCGTCTACATATTCAACGTAACCGTATCATGCGCTATGACATCATTTCTACCGGAAGAGCTTTTAACATCTTACATTTGAAAATTAAATTTCTAAAATATTGTTTGGATACATAGCTGTATTTATTATTATTATTATTTTTAATTATTTTTTTTCCTTTTTTTTTATAGGGACGAGAGCGGTTAAATGGCAAGCCGGTATTTGTACTCGTGGACTCCCAATAGTAAAACTTTCGGACAAGGTGTGACCTTTGTCACTATATATCAGAAACTTCTGTTATTCGAATGTTTTCATCTGCAAATTTTTTTTTTCCGGTTTTACGTCTCGGATCAGTACTCAATATTCCGGAAGGTCATTAATATATGTTTACGAGCATAGGGATTTTGTGGTGAAAGGCTTGTTAACAAATAACATTATTTGTGAACAAAATTTCTGGGTAGATTGGTTATATTATTCCACTGTATTTTGGTTCTTTTTACCCATCTTACACTTTCCCTATTCATAGCCACAATTCTCTCTTAATTTCTTTTTTTCAAATATTCGAATCTTGTTATAAATTGGGGAACATAATTCGAACCCTAGACCTCAACTCTAATCGTAGAGGTTATGTGTCAACTCTCCTAATTCGAACGGTTTTACAAACAACAAAAGGGATTGAGCATGAAAGATATTTTCTATATGTTCCTTTTGATATTCGTACGTATTCGAGGAAGAATTTGTTTAAAGAGGAGGGAGTATGATGTTATTCTGACAAGGCCAAAATGAAGAAATGAAAGAAGAGAAAGCCTGTGAGTTGATAGAGTACTCGTTCGTACTTGAAATAGCAATAATCAGCGCCGCATGTCAGTTGCTTGAAGAGTTCATGGTGTGGAATTGGAAGAAAATAAAGAGGGAATTCGTTGAATACTGCATACTGAATATATAAAAAAAAAGGGTAAATTACAACTACCCCTAAGGTATGGTCAAATTAGGGGTGAGCAGAAAAACCGAAAAACCGAACCGAAAACCGAAAAAACCGAGCGGATATGTACCGTCCCGAATTAAAACCGCATACACGGTAAATTTTTTTTGAAAAACCGAAAATATCGGTTTGTGTATGGAGAATTTAAAAATTACCGAACCGATTCCCGAACCGAACCGATTTATACAAAATGATGTATTTTTGATATATATTATAAATACTTACCCTAGCGTGCCTCTATCTTTCGAGCGCCTCCATGTGACATCGTTTTCTATTAATTAATTTTGGTTGTGACGTGTTTTTTATTAGTTAATTTTCGGTTGTTATTTGTTAATTTTCTCAAATAAATATAATGAAAGTCCAAATATATGGGTTTTATGCCGAACCGGTTCGAACAAATAGACGAAATCGAAACCGAAAATAAACCGAATTGATACCGAAACCGTTAACCGAAAACCGAAAAACCGATTCACACCGAATCGAAAAAAACCGACATATTCGGTTTTTAAAATATGAGAAACCGATATTATCGGTACATGTTTGGTTTATTGGAAAAACCGAGCCGTACCGACCCGTGCACACCCCTAGGTCAAATTACGAAAAAATCCCTCTTGTTTGGGTAATTACAACCTCCTCTCAACTATAAATTTTTTTACACGTCCACCCTTGCGGTTTCAAATTTAGTGGAATCTTTTAGATTGTATGGAATATTCTTTATTTTGTACCTGTTTTATCTCATTCGAGCTCCACATTTTGAAGCTAGATGATCATAAGATGTGTTTTTTGGCTTGTATTATCAGATTGTTGTGCATCAAAAACTGTATTTTTGCACAAAACGACTACAAACTAGAGAACATTCAACGGAATCTAGATAATTATGTTGAATTTGACACCATAAGGGTGAAGATGTAAGATGATTCATAGTTGAGAAGATAGATGTAAATATCCAAACATGAGAGATTTTTTCATAATTGAACTATACATCAGATGGTGGTTTTAATTTATCCTAAAAAAAAAAGTTGTTGTATTTGAAGTTGATTATGAAAAAGAAAACGAAAAAAGCAAAAATCAACCCCCCCCCCAAAAAAAAAAAAAAAAGACATTAGATATGAGATAGTGAATGATAGATTTGAAAAAAAAGGACTGAATCTATAACTAGATGTTAAAATAGGGCTGGACCATTAAAGAAAGGCATATGAATAATATCTCAAAGAGCCGTTCTTTAAAAAAACTTGCAACAACAAAGTACCAAATAGGACAATTTTTTTTTTAAAGAAACTCATACACATTCTTCATCATCTTAATCAACTTTATGTTAATCAAGATTATCAATCGACAGCCCGCATGGGTATAATTCAACTAGTTTTGGGGTGATAAGTTGGTACAAGATACAAGATTATCAATCGACAAATGTGTCAAAAGGACGATAAAATGACCTAATCATATTATTATTATTATTATAGGGTACGATTAGGTCATTTTATCGATCAACGCTGATCATAGGCGATAAAAATTATCGGCAATATTATTATGGGGTACGATTAGGTCATTTTATCGATAAAAATAAGACCCAAGATCCTGTAAAGACAAAAATATCCCATAAAACTCTAATATACTTCAATTTCATCCGTACATCTAATTTCATTAATTATTCAATTTTTGATCGCAATCTACTTATGACCCTAATTTTAACCGCCACATCTAGTCTTCGGCGTTGATTTTTTTTATCTGATTTTTCTTTTGACGCCGCCCTCGCTTACTGGCGGTATTGACTTTTTTTTTTAAATATTTTTTTGCCGCCAGCAGCCGTTGTCTGACGGTCAATGCCGGTCTCCGACATTGACTTTTTTTTTTCCTTAACATTTTTTACCCTTTAAAACATTAATATTATTGTGTTTAACAACAATATTAACTATATTACTATATTATTGTCTAACATAATAATATAATTTTTTTTTTTTGTTAATATTACTGTATATAGAGTAATATTAACTACAATATTACTGTGTTTCAAAAGAATATTGTTGTATAACAATAATATTGTTGTGCAACAAAGTCATATTAACACAATATTATTTGGTCGACAATAATATTACTATATGTACGGTGTTCTGTTTTGATTTTAATGCGGTTGACAATAATAAAAAGCACTTTGGTTTACAACGATATTTTTGTGGTTAATATTATTGACAACCACAATAATATTATTGTGTTAATCGATCAACGCTGATCATTGACGATAATTTTTTATCATGAAAAAAAGAGAAAAAGTACAAAAAAAAAGTCAACAGTAGGAAATGTTTGTCCGAAAAAATAATTTCAAGAAAAAAAAAAGAAAACAAAAACACAATATCGAATTTGTGTCAAAATTAGTGAAGTTAGAGTTAAATTAGATTTTACAATCATGAAAGAGATTAAAGGGTTAGAACTTAGAAGTAATTTTATCATAAATACTAGATTTGCCTTTGTTTGTAATACATGTTGAAGGAGTGAACATATTTACGAAAGAGAAAAAATACTTGAACCTAAATTAATAAATGTAAGTTGTCAGGACTTTTTCATAAAAACCCATATTATTAATAAAAAAATTGTAAAAACAACTTGAATATTAAAAGTTTCATTACTAACTTCCAATTTTATAAAGTTTAGATAATTACAATACATTATTAAATAAAGTTATAATATTAAACATAGATGGTGATGGCATAAACATTTTTCTTTGCCAAGAAATAGAAATTCCCAAGCTAGGAAAAAAAAAAAAGTAAGAAACAAAAGGAAAAGATAGTATACAAAAAACCACAAAAAATATATATCATAACAATTAAAAAATTGAAATAAAAAGATATATATGGTAAGACTTCCATGTAGATGTGGTGATATGTCACCTTTACATACGCAATCCTAGTATCAACAAATTCCACGGTCAAAAGCTAACCAAGAATCTAATTTTGTTCTACACAAATTCACATTTGTAAGAAATAATTAACTTCAATTCAATATTCAATGACAATAACATATTTGTTTTTTCTTAACTTTAAAACTACTTATTTTACTATAAACTAAAGTTAGGTAGTTCTTTTTTTTTTTTTTTTTATTTTTTTTTTTTTTTATAATCGTGCTAGGTGGTGTTATATTTTTATAAATAAATATATTAGTATGACATGTATTTGTCTTGAAGTAAACACAATTAAGCTAGTTTAACTACCCGATTAGTATTGTTTACCTAACAAGTTGGATTATAATATGTGTGATATATATATTGTGTCTCGAGTTATAGGTTATATTTTTGGCCTCGTTTCACTAGTAGAAAATTTATTTATTACTACGAATTTGTTTGCTACTGTGAAAACCGTAATAAAAGGCACTTTTTACTACGGAACAATTTTGAAATCGTAGTAAATACTAGGAGTTACTGTGGCAAAAAAGTATTTGGTACGGCCATTTATCGTAGCAAAACTTTTGTCACGCCCGTATATGCTACGGGGTAAATTCGTAGCAAATACGTAGCAAAAAAATTTTTACTATAAATTTTTACATTTTACTACAATTAATGATCGTAGTAAAAAACCATTTTTCTAGTTGGTAATATTAGTCGTGAACTATGATTCATAAAATAGTCGGACTTTATTGGATGTTATATTAGTCTAATAATTATTTGGGTTGGTCAACACTTGTGGTAAAAATAACTATTGTCTTGGATAATCGAAAGATTGTTTATTGGACTTCTTGTTATTCAAAATTATAATTGATTTTTCATGAAATTATTTAATTTTAGTTATGGCTCGTATAGTTACCTATATCAGATAAATTTAGATTAGATGAGATTGAATTAATTCCCTATTGACTAATTAATTATTTATGGTCTAGTCCATGCTACACCGGGTGAAATACACAGGATGAACCTTTACTGTTAATATACACACAAACACACACCCACCCACATTGGTGTGTATAGATCAACGATAAAAATCTTGTATGATGTTCGGTATGTAAGATTAGATCTTCTATTAAATCTGTTAAATTATGGTGTTGTATGTGATTTGTCTATAAAATCTTTTATTTAGATTAGATCTTCTATTAAATCTGTTAAATTATGGTGTTGTATGTGATTTGTCTATAAAATCTTTTATTTAATAAAATTAGCATATAGTTTGAAAGATAAGAAAACCTTTACTTGTTTAGTCATCACCTATTAAATTAATCTTAGGGGAAAGGGTGCCACTAATTTAATGAAATATTAAAAGAATAAATTTTGAAAGCTTATAAGTTTTTTTTTTTTTTTAACAAAATATTTGTATTTATGATTTTTGTACCTCCCTTACTACAACATTTCGAATTCAAAAAGAACACCAAATGTTTGATTATATTACAATATTACATGAATATTCTTCACACACCTAGTTTTTTAAACAACATATTCTCATATTCAAACGGAAAAATTACAAAAATACGTATTGAGGAAAAATAAACTTTTTTACTATTAATTAAATTTCAAAATCAACATTCTTATAAATTATTTATTGAGAATGTTCTATTACTATTAAAAAATAATTTTTAATTTATTTATTATTACCTGATAATTTTGTATTTGAATCTTAAGTAATTAGTCAAATATATAGGAATATTATACGAAATAAATTTCATATTCAAACATCTTAAAAATTATTTCAATATAAGGTCTAGCATATTTTTCAGTTCTTTAACTATTATATTAAATATATGAACCTATAATATATTCAAAAAAAATATAATCAAATCATCTAATTAGTAATTACTTGTTAGCTTAAATAATAATAGACAAATACAAACTAAGAAAATGAATAGACAAATGAGAGGCTTCTTTTCTCTTTGGAAAACATTTATCAACCCAATTTTCTATAATTACAACTCAAAAAACTACAAGAGAATAAACTTCAAAATATTCAAAAAAAAAAAAAAGAAAAAAAAAATTAAAATGAAGAAAATTGGATGGATAAATGCCAGAATCTTACTCTTATGTGTACTTTTACAATTTGTAGATGATAAGGAAACACGGTAATAACGCACGTGTATCAAATACGAACAGTTCTCCTTTCTCCCCACCCACTGAGTCATAACACATCCGCCCTTGTAGCAACGAGTCAAGACCGAGTTGCTTACAAACCCGACCCGCTATGACCCGGCAAACCAGCATGGTCCTCCGCCCTCTGCCGCCACCCGCGTTCTCGTGGGCTACACCACTCCCGGAAAACGTACACGCAGCTCCCATTTTGCCACCGTGGAATGCCCACGCGCCTCCGCCGGTATCACACGCGCCGCCAGTTGTGGCGGCGGGGCCGAGGCAATAGAACCTCATGACCTCATTCCCGTCAGCGGCGCACCGCACGTGGTCCTCACCGCCCTTGCCTGCGGCGGCGGCGGCGCAACTCGCCCTGTATTTCACATCTTCCCTGTACTCTTCGAACCGGGTCAAAGTCCGGGTCAAATTCTGGACCTTGAACACCATTTCCACCTGACCCGAGAAATTCTTCTCGCCCCAGCTGGTTTGGAATATTATCTCCACCACATTACGCGACGGGTGGCCTTTAGGCAGCTCGGTGAGCGTCGAGAAGCACGAGTCGGCGCCGGCAGGCCGGGTTCCGATGGCGGGCTGCAGATTTAAACCGGGTTCGGGTTTTCTTGAAACGGGCCGTTTGAACGGCGGCGCGTGGGGAGGTTTCTGTGGCTTTGGCTTCTTGGGTTTGGACGGCCTGGTGGTTTCAACCACGTCTTTGATATTCTGGAGGCTGCTTTTGCAGCTGGACGAGTGGTGGTGGTGGTGGTGGTTTTTAGGGTTCCGGTGGTGGTGAACGACGTCGTCTAATGCTTTTGACTTGCACTGCAATGACTTCATCCATCCAGTCGCCATTTTCCGGCCACTTTGATAGACCCCTTCAAGTTCTTTCTCTCTCTACTCTCTCTCTCTCTTAGTCTCTCTCTCTCTCTAAATTTATACTAGTGTATATATATTTATTATGCATGTAAATGCGTATATATTATTAGTGTGTAAATACATGAACAATATGTTTAAATACTAACAATGAGTGTGTGTGTGTGTAATATGGTGAGCGAAGAGGTTTTTGAGCTGGAAAAAAATGTGTGGAAATGGAGAAGACATGGCGTGTATTAAATGAGATGAAACAAATACATGTATAGTACTTTGTTTAATTTGTATGCATATGCACGTATGCAATTACTTTAATACCCTTCATAATTTACTTTGCACCCTCGAAAACAATTAATAGCACTCTGCACCCTTAAAACATAATAAATTATGCATAATGCACCTCAAATTAATTTTTAAAGCTGATGAAAGTAGTTTAATATTTTTTGTGGTAGTTTTTAGGATGCTAAATATGAAATCAATTTATTTTTATTCATCAATCATTTCGAAACTAAAAAATGCAAAAAAATAAAAATACATCTCATCAATATACTTAAAAATTATATTTTTATCACAAAAAAATATTTTACGAAAAAAATAAAAAAAATCCTTCAGCTGTTTCGTTATCATATTTCCACCAATTACAATATAAGATCCATCAATCGAATAATTTAGTGATAAGAGTTTATTTTATTTCTAAGAAAATATAGTTTCTTAAATAATCCAGGATGATTTTTTTTTTTTTTTTTTTGCACTTGGTCCGCTCGAAATTAGGTTGGATGTTGAAAAAAATTGAGAAAATCAATAAAAAATGAAATTGCCTTAGTTATTCAATTCTCGGTGCATTATATATTTTGAGGGTGCAAAGTACTATTATTAGTTTTTAAGGGTGCAAAATACCAAAAAACTTCATATCAAGGGTGCAAACTGCAAAGTGAGATTACGTCGTTTAATAAACAAGGAAAGAACAAATTTCATTAATACACTCTAGAATCTAGATCAAACGAAATTCCATCGGTTAATGGGGACT